AATCCCAGTGAGTTCCCAAGGATGTGCTATTAAGAGTGGCTTGATGTGACTCTCCGTTGTGTTTGAGAGGACAAAAAAGACCGAGCTGGAGAGCTACTACTCGATGGGACCATGCTGGCTCTGGGAAACACCCCACCCCACCCTTCCAAAGCTCCCTTCTCCTGACTGAGATGGAAAAGGGCCTGGGTGAAGCCTCCACGAATCACTTGGCAGTGTGGACGATGGTCTCTGGTGAGCCACAGGAAGGAATGGTAAGGAAGCTTCCTGCCTACAAGGCCTTTGACTGAGAAATAAAAGGGAAAGCAGAATTTGCTGTTGAATTCACCACAGTGCATTTGGGTGGATTAGCAGACTTAATCTAATTGCTTAAACAATGATCTCCTAATGACCATCTTATCTTCCTGGTTAGAGTTTTTGCAACCTTGCAGGCTGCCTTTAGCAGGTTTGGCTGGGAGGGACCTTTCTGGGCTGGGGTGGCTGCCAATCTATCCGGCACTGACCAATTGATCTCTCCCTACCTCTGAATTCAAAGAGAGCCCCGCCTCTCTGTTGAAGTCTCCCCTCTTTAGAGTCTGTCGGAGTCTATTGTCGAAGGCAATCATGTTTGTCAGTTTGCTGTTGGGTCTGCTCAACTGTAGGGAATGACACCTTTTATTCTTTCTACTATTAATGTCTGTTGAGTGAGTTATTGAGACTGTAAGTGCCAGTTAATGATAAAACGGGAACTTGAGGCTATTCTGCTCAGTGAATCCCTGCGCTTCTGCTGCACAGCGCAGGAATCTGACCCAAAATTCAAAACTCTGCAATATTCCCTTCCGACGGTCATCAAACCGACCCAGACCTTTAACTTCTCTACAGCCTTTCTGCTACCCTCGAGCAAGGGAGACCTTCTTGCATGCCAGGGAGGCACTCCTCTGAGTCGCCAGAAATTTAGATCAAGGGTAGATAACGTTGCAGGCATAGTTCAGGCTCTCCATGTTTTGCGATCTCTGGACATGGGTGGAGGGGAAGAATACCTGTTTTTTTAATTCTCAAAAGTGCTACATTACACGCACAGGTCCAAGTGTCCGCTGCTTAGCTGCCCTTTCAACTACACTGGTCAGTGGAGCGTTCAGCCTTGATGGTTGCTCAGGACCGGCTGCTTCGGCGGCTTTCTTCCTCTGGTTGCTCAGCGAGCCGAGAGGGACCCATGGAGCAGAGAGGGACCTACATCCGTTGCCCCCGTTGTCTCCCCATGGCCTGCCCCCCCCACAAGCCCTGGGTCACTTCCAGCTGAGCTCAGTCCAGGGAGGAGGAGATGGTTCCAGGGGCAGCTTTTCATTTTGCTTTTCGGGCGGGCGTTTGCAAGTTCACTTCGGAAAGGAAGGAACACACATTCTTGGCACTCGTTTGGCCACTTAATTGGCAGGTGGCGTGAGTGGCTCTTCTGTTCCGGCCTTTTACATGGCGCTGCCCATTCAAGGAGCTCGTTAAAGGCTTTCTCTCTCTCTCACCCTTCCGGTGCCCCTGTGGCCTGGCAGCCCGTCTGTGAAATCATTCCACGTGGTCTCAGGCTTGGCCGAGGCATGGGAATCCTTTTGATACAGGCGGTATAACGACCTTGATGTGAAGACATCTAATGAACCTGCTGTTCCTTGATGAAACTGGCCACCTCTTCAGATGGCCTCTGTGAGGATTCGCTAACCCCTAAGAGAGCTCCCGGTGCAAGAAGGAGACAAATGCCTTTTTCATTGCATTTTCCACATTTTGTGCAAAATGTTTTCTGCGCAGACCAGTGGCTTTCCTCTTCGTACGGTGAAACACACACACATGTGCATGCAGATACACACAGAGAGAGTGCAGAAGGATTGGCAAACTGGTCAGGAAGACACAAGTAACCTATCCTCGGCTTCTGCTTTGTAGAAGCGCTTGTGTTGTGGCAGCACTTGCCGCAGTTTTGCACAGTGGTGCAATCTGTGGAAAACCTGGACTGCCAAATACACAGATTCTCCCTGAGACTGACGAAAATCTCATAAAGATTTTTTTGAGCATGATGTCTTAGGCAAGAACAATCTTTTAATCTTGTTTTTGTTAAGTGCACAGGAACAAAGCAAGTGAAGATTTAAACTGCTAAATCAGAATGGCCAGTTCCTGCATAACTGCTAGGTGAAAGCTCAGTGGAAGTTTCAGCATGCATATAGAGGTTCCGTCCTACCATCCTGTGTTGCAGAGTTTTGAATTTCTGGTAAAATTCCTTTAGCTATGCAATAGAAGTGCAGAGACCCACAGAGGAGATTAGCTTCAAGTTCGCCAAAGTCCACCCCTTTCTCATTAACTGGCGCTTAAAGTTTTGGTAACTCCTTCTGAGACATTTGTAGGAGAATTTTTAAAAAAAACATTATTCAAGTACAGTTGTTTGACATTCCAAACTTGTTTATGCTGCTTTCTTTGCTACACAAATACTTAGCCACCAACTGAACAGATCAACAGCAAACAGGTCGACCAGTGGTTACACTGGCTTGTGGGGGCAGATTTCTGGAAATTTTGTTCCAAAACCAGGAAAGTGCATAAGTTCAGGCATGAAAACATGTGAAAGTGATGCTGGACATTTGCAACAGGAGGGGAAAAAAAGCCGTTTAGGAAATGAGCTCATTGGAGCTTGTTTGACATCAGGGCCCCCAGTGCTTATGGAACCCATCAGGAAATTAAATGTCACTTGATTTTCCAGCAGTCCTGCTGACTCTTTGCCAGGGCGTAATGGTGATAGCAACTAAGCGAGTGTTCATTGCCCTCCGCCTTCGTAGCATTGAAAAACCACGTGAGGGCAATTTAAATGCCATGTCTCCGTCTAGGCAGCAGTGCCCTTATTAACGAGGGACAGTGACCCACTTCTAAATGAGCAAACCAGAGGCAGTGGTTGAGGGCTCAGCACAAATTCTGGATGATTTTCGAGGCTTACTTGGAACTGGGTGAAGCTGAGTCCTTGTATTAGCCTGCTTTATTTGGTGTGGATTTTTTTAATGTGCTTTATTCCTTCGTGGCAGTATATGCATTTACATTTATATATACATACATCTCAGTAATTTAAGCATCTGGTTGCAGAGCCAGAGGTTGGGAGTTTGATTTCTTCCTTCTCGCCCCCCCCCCGGTACTTTCCTGCCAGGGGCTGGACTCTGCGATCCCTAGTGTCCCTTACAGCTCTGAAGTTCTAAGAGGTTGGGGATAGTGACGAACTGCCATGAGCATGTGGAAACAAAACCCAGTGAAAACCGGGTTTGCTTTTCATTAAAATAACACGCAATCAATGATTTTTTGCTTTGCATGTTAATCAAATCTGTCAAATAGGTGCCTGCTTTAAAAAAAATGATTTTTCAGCAGATAAATGGGGGTCCTTAAACTAAGCCAATCTGAGCTCTGCAAAGCGAAAGGAGCTCAGCAGAATTCCTCTCGCTTCATGTCATTTCTTAATACATACCGGTTTGCCTGTTTTGTCCTGGTTTCGTTCATGGGAAAGGCCAGGCACTGTTGAAGAGGAAGAAAAACAACAGCTTTTCCAGATGTCCTTGGACCACAACTCCCATCACCTCCTCCCCATGGGCTTTGCGGGCCAGGGATGATGGGGGCTGTTGTCTCACAGCATCTGCCAGGGTGCACATTCCCCATCTCTGGTCGAAATCAAGTCAAAGGTCTGCCCAAGAGTCACGGGTTGCGAGGGGAGGTGGAGGACCAGACCGGGCACTCTGGAGAAGGTGCTTGAAAACTGGAGGGCCTCCGTGAAGATCGGGTTCAGGAAGGGCCCCCTCTTCGACTTCAATCCAGCCCTGCCTGCTTTCTTTAAAGGAAAATGTCAAAGTTCTTTAGGCTGCATCCATAAAAAGAGTTTCCCCCCCAGTTCTGAGCACGGCAACTTGGCCAACTCATTTGGGTGCTTGAAAGAGGGTTCGGTGGGTCTCCAGGACTCTGCGTAGGGAGTGGGAGCGTTAGGACAGCCTACTCATCAGGCTGCTGCTCATTCCTCTCCTCATTAGCGCTCTCCACGGGAGGCTGCAGATTAAATAATTCATAGTGACGGTTTGCTCGTCAAGGTGTTCCCCTTGAGGCTCAGGCGCTTCAGCAGGAAGATCTGTTGGGAGAAGCTAGCCTGGCACCATCTCTGCCAAATACGGGTCTTGGATAGCGGCGTCCCGTTGCCGAATCTGGCGGGTGTTTTCGGAGCATTGCATTGCAAACTGCTTGAAAGGTTTCAGAAAACCATCCGTGAGCGCCGCAGCTTCTCTGGATGTGGGCGCAGAGCGATGGGGCGATCCTGGATGCCCTGCGAGAAGTAGCGTAAGCTAGTGAGTCAATGAACGTCCCTACGTACACTGGGAAGATTTAGGTTCCAATCCTGCTTCTACCATGATGTTTGCTGGGTGGCCTTGGGCCAGCTGCTAGATCTCGTCTTATCCTACCTTGCAGGACTGTCATGGGGATCCAAAGGGGGCATAAGAGTCAACATGACCCACCGGTTAGAGTCAGATGTTCCCCAAAAGATTTTCCACTGAACCCCTTTGGTGGTTCAGTTTAGAGGAGAACCTGACCAAAATTTCTCAAAGCGCATTTATTTTTCCTGAGAAATTTTTGAGGATGGAAACAGATGAGAGAGTGTCTTCGCTGCTTTAAGAAGTAAAGGATGTTTGATTATCCTCCAGTGTAGTTTCATGACTCCACAAGCTGGCAGTTGGGTTGCTTTGGGTTTGATGATTGCTCACTGAGAGATAAACAACGGGCTTTGTTTACATTTATTTTTGTGATTATTCTCCGAGAGGTAATTAAAACATGGGCTTCATTTGCACATGGATTGTGCAAACAGCAGCTTTGAAGAAATCGGTATCTGGAGCAATAATGTTTTGACACTTTCTAACTGCGAAGCTGTTGGCTAGCCTATGGAGCTATTATTGTTTAAATAATTTGCACAGTGGTTTTAAAAGAAAAATAAATCCAAATGCTCTCTGTCTCTTTCTTCCTCTTATCTCAGGTGACACCCGGCTGATTCCTCGCCAAGATGCCGCTGGTGAAGCGGAATATTGAACCTCGCCATCTGTGTCGTGGAGCCCTCCCAGATGGGGTGACCAGCGAGTTGGAATGCGTGACCAACAGTACCTTAGCTGCCATCATTAAGCAACTGGGAAGCCTCAGTAAGCTTGCAGCTTTCCTGTGCTCTCCACAGAGACAGAGAAAAAGTTACTTTTTGGACTGGGATTCACAGAAGGTCCAAAGCATATTTGGGAGGGGCTGTATTTGAAAAAAAAAACCCACTAGTTTTCCCCATCATTATACGTAGGTCATCATGGAACTCGTCAGAGCTGAGAGAGGGCTGCGGTTTAATTGGGAGGGGAGCCTGCGTTCAGCCTTTTTACAAGGAGACTCGGACGGCCGAAAGCGTTCATGAAAAATGACCAGTCGTTTGTCATGAATAGGAGTGCAGATTATCATTTAGATATCTGGGTGGCTCAGTGGTTTCGGTCTTGGAGGTCAGGAGTTCAATTCCTGCAAGGGGCCTCCCAGACGGGGGGTGGACTTGATGACCCAGGGGGTCCCTCCCAGCTCTGCCCGTTCTAAGAGCATTTTTTTTCCTAATTCCCAGTCCGGAAGTGAAAGGATGGCTCTCCAGCGCTACTTGCAAAACACTTGTGGGAGTCCAATTACTTTTCCCCTCGAGAGACAGCGAATGATCTTGGGCCAGGCTTTCACAAAGCGTCCTTCATTCTGAGGGAGGCAGAGAGAAACAAAGCCTCCCATTTGAGCAGAGATCCATAATGCCCCCATCCACGGCGCTTGATTTTGAGTTGCTTGCTCGGACTGCTGCGTGTGATGAACAAAGGCCCCCCGCTGCTGAGCTGCCTCGTTAAACAAGACGGCCATTGTGGCCGCTCTGGAGAGGTCCCTCTTTGAAGACTCGCTCTGTTCAGTCCATCAAAAGGATCAGGCGTGGAGGGCAAACCAGACCCTCCCACCAGACCCTCCCTCGGGCAAGCTTGCTTCGGTTTGTGCCAGAGTGGACGGCTCCCAGTAGATGGAGGCCGTCTTCCGTTTCCGTCAGCAATTTGCTTCGCGGTTTGTCTGGCTGTGAGGAGTCTTTTAAGTGTGTTTTGTTAATTTTTTTGCTTTTTGAGGGAGGGGGGAGGGGGGGTCTGGTTGGTCTTTTTTTGCCAAGCATGACGAAGCCTGTGTGCCTGTCTCATAAACATTGTCTGGCATCCCACATTAAGGGAAATGTCTACTTCCCGCTATTACACTGTTTTCCCTCCAGTCACCCCTTCCCTTCAAAGCTCCATGCTTGAGCAAGGCAAATCCAATGAATGGCTCTAATAGAAAGTGCCAGACTGGGGAAAGCTGTATGTACTATCCATTTTTGAAGTAGGTTTTCTTAACAACACAAGCAGGGTTGGGCCTCTTGTGGGAACATCTGGTTGGCGACCGTCGGAAACAGGATTGTGGATTGAATAGACCGTTGATCTGATCTGGCAGGACTTCTCTTCCATTCTTGTGTGTAGATGCTTCATGCAGGGCCTTCTCAGTTGCTGCTGCCTCCCCCCCCCCCCAACTTCGGAACTCTCATTCAATGTGTTGAACTATGTTTTAATATTTGTAACACTGTTTTAGTGAAACTGGTGTTTGGTTTCTTTAGAAAACACACAACTACATGGCAAAGCTGCTTCAGGCTCCAGTTTGGGGAGAAAAGTGACCATTTACACAAACAAACAAACAAAAAAGAAAAGTGGTACAAATTAAAGGCCTTCTAAAATCTTGCTGGAAACCTAAGCACTGAGCCAGATTTGGGGGAAACGGTGGGGAGTCTCCCCTTGTCTGGTGAGGATCGCTTTGCTTTGTTTCTCCAGTGCTGCTTCGCAAAGGAAAGCCCCCTTCTTCCTCCACCTTCTCTGCCTTGCACCTCTTTTGAAAACAAAAAACAAAAAATGCCAACCCATCCACCTCCTATCTTCTTTTTTCCAGGCAGACATGCTGAAGACATTTTTGGAGAGCTGTTCAACGAGGCCAATAGCTTCTACATGCGGATGAATTCTCTCCAGGAGCGGGTGGACCTTCTGGTGATCAAGGTCACTCAGCTGGACTCCACCGTGGAAGAAGGTGGTCATCAAGAGCCCTGCGGGCCAACCCCTCTCACATCCCTCTTGCAATCTTTGTGGTTTGGTTAAGCGCACGTTGGTGGGGGTTTTTTTGACTGGGTGAAGCAAAATCCAGCAAGGCAGAGAGCTGGGACAACAGAGGCAGACGAAACATAGATCGGTGGGGGAGTTGCACCATGCGCCGTGAGCGCTGTGCAAGGGGCAGAGGTTGGGGTGGGCCACTACAAAATAAAGAAAATAAATTCCTCCCGGCAGAAAATGAGCCTGTTGCAAGGAAGGGACCCAACCTAGCCTTCGGGTTGGCTTGCTAATGCTTTTGACTTTGGCTGGTCTTTATGAGCCCTATGGGCCATTCCAGCTCTGCACTTCTAAGATAATGATGATGATTAACTGCACAATTGTGGAAGGCCAACTGTGCCTGTCCCATCTTGCACAGCTTGTGAGATTGACTGTGCTATAGATTGTGTGGTCCGTCTCACAACAGGGGCCTGGCAGAGCAAGGAAACCACGAAGCGATTACTCTTACTGTACAAATATATTTACCCTTGGTTATAATGAATTATTGCATTTTTAATTTAAAAAATAGTTTTAAACTTCTAATGTGTTCATAGCTGTCAAGATAATCACGAAGACAGAATTTGAGACAAATGACCCAAGTCAGTTTCTTAACAAGCAAAGGGGATACGGTGTGTGAGGAACCTGCCAAGCGTTCAGAATTCAGTTTAACCTGCCTTGTGTTCTCTCTTTGGCGTTTTCCCAGTCTCACTGCAGGATATCAACATGCGGAAAGCATTCAAGAGCTCTACCATCCAGAACCAGCAGGTGGTGTCTCGCAACTCGATTCCTAACCCGGTGATGGAGATGTACCAGCGCTGCGATAAACCTCCGCCACTCAACATCCTCACGCCATACAGGTATTATGGACCTTTGGCCAAAGGGTCCTTACAGACCACATGTATCATAGGAGTTTAAGGCTCAAAGCAGATGATAGGCTTAGCAAGAATTTAGAAAGAGTGCTCCCTTTAGTAGTGGAAGACATCTGTTTGTCATTGCATAGGATCTTGCCTTTAGCATGTTATCAGCAACATATAGTTCAGCCCCACATGTGCAATTTTAAGTGAGATTCATAGTGATTGTAGCTGCTGTACTCCTTTCTTATTCATTTGATTTGTCATTGTAGGTAACTGCTAATAAATGGGTCTTTTTGTCTTTCCCTCCACGCAACCAACTTGCTGGTTTCAGAGATGACAAGAAAGATGGCTTGAAGTTCTACACTGACCCATCGTACTTCTTCAATTTGTGGAAAGAGAAGATGTTGCAGGCGACAGAGGATAAGAGGAAGGAGAAACGTCGACAGAAGGTAAAAAACAGGGTTGAGGAGTGACGTCGTTCTTGCAGTGGCTGCAGAGCTCTGCAAGAAGGCACTCACTATTTTATTTTATAGCAGGACCCCTTTATCCATGGGGTCCACCGTTTCGCTTATCCATCATCAGAAAACAAAAAATATTAAAAGGAAAAAAAATCCAGAAATGTTTTTTCCATGATGTAGTTACTGGAACTGGTCACTAGAGGGATCCATAAACCACACTATGTATACGGTTTGCTATTATCCGCGGTTTTCAGCATCTGTGGTTGGGCTTGGAACCTCTTCCCTGTGGACATGAGGGTCCTGCAGTAGTTTATTTGAAGCCTTCCTTTCAGAATAAAGCCCTCTCAAGGCAGTGTACATACGAAAAGCTGCATAAAACAAATCTGAACCGATTTCTGACCAAATCTTATCTGTACAAAATCATCGGGATCATCTCTCTCTCTCTCTCTCTCTCCAGGAACAGCGACTCATAGAGGACTCTACCCGGGAGGTCAAAAAAGTGAGGAAAGCCCGCAACCGAAGGCTGGAGTGGAACATGATGGCGTATGATAAAGAGTTTCGGCCCGATAACAGGTTCTCCCCATCCCCCTATCACATGGCATCATCGGAAGGATCCCTTTCCCCCGACAATAGGCAGGTTTTATGTCTTACACGCTTTGCTTGGTCTCCTCCTTTGATTTGCTGTTTCGGCTGCCCTTTTCTCTGGCTTTAGTCATACATCTGTTTGTTTGTTTGTTTGTTTAAAACAACGACAACAACCCCTGGTGCCTTGAATCACTCCTGACAAGGAAGGCTCCCTGTTCTGGCCAGATGTAGGGGCAGAGGGGATCCCCAGGGCATTGAGGAACCCTTTGTGAGGAGCTTTAGGCGGTGCAGCTCGAGAGGAAAGAGGCGCGGGGAGGGAAGAGGGAACTCAGTGCACGGCTCAGGGACCCACTTCTCTTCTGTTTGCATGGGAGGCTTTGCTGCTTCTGGATGATGCTCAGGGGTGCTCTCGGGAGCCCTGACTGGGAGAATTCAGACAGAAGGCTCAGTGCTTCAGTGGCCTGCCCCTTTCCTCCTAACCAGTGTGTGCTCTTCCTTCACTGCATGCCTGTGTTTCCCTTTTTTCTCTGCACCTCCTCCCTGTAGCTGTTTGGCTCCCCTAGGCCTCAATCCCAGGGACATCATAACCCTCCCCCCTTCCATTGGGTTCTCCCCACCTTCCCCTTCCACCCAGGTGTACAACCTTCTGGTGTTTTTCTGTGTGACAGATCCTACGCGTCCGACGCAGCCGATCATTCATACCCGGCCAGCCCTAACCATCCAGCCCAGCAAATCTTAGCTCCAGCCTCCCACCTCTCCACAGACAACAAGGAGGTGATCCTGGTGGCTAGCCAGGGCCAGGAGCATGTCTACAGGCCCTCAGCGGCAGGAAGCCGGCAGAACAGTCTCAACCGGGTCCAACCTCCCCATGTGTCGCAGCCACCTGAGAACATGCTCAATGGACCGAGGCCTCAGATAGTCAAGGATTATGGGTATGAACTCCTGCCTACTTTCCTTCCTCTGCTTTCTCTTTGGCTAGAGGGAGTTCAGCAGAGCTACTGGGATGATGGTTGTTGAAAAGCAAAGTCCTTTCCACTCCCAGGTACAGGAAGAGTATAGAGAAGCATGACAAAACGTTGTTATGCTTATCGACAAGGTGTTAATTGGCCAAAAGGCCTGGGAACCAAGGAAGGGTCAAGGATGATGGGCCTGATTAGAGAGGCCACCAGACAGATATGTGAACAGCTGCCACGTGGAAGATGTAGCATGCTTGTTTGCTAATGCACCAGAGGGCAGGACTTGAACTCATACACTCAAATGACAATAAGGGAGATCCTGACTTTAGGAAGGACTTCCGGTAGTAAGAGTGTTCGAAAATAGAGTATATTGCTTCAGAGGTTGATGGGTTCCCTTTCTCTGGAGGTGTTTGAGCAGGGGTACAATTCATCGGTTCTGTTTCTTAACATTAAATGGGTCAGTGGATAGCCAGGGAGCAGGGGCCCTGATCCCAACTCCTTTGACTGAGGCTGGTGTCTTTGGTCAAGAGTAAGTTTGATCCAGAGTTTGTTCCCACCTCTTGGTGTTTCCCCAGTGGAAAACACCAGCCAGAGATCCTTTCACTGGAAGTTTGGGTTGATCCTGGGAGATGTGATGAAAACATTCCAGTTCAGTCCTTGGGAGTCAACTCAGGTAGGAGACAAGTTTTGATAACCAGAAGACTTTTATAAGGTAGCTCAGAGAAATGAAAGTACACCAGGATGAATGGCCATCAGTGACTGAGTTCTGAAACAGGCTCCTAAGAGGAAACAGGGCTTGTTTATTGAATGTTTATTCAAAGCCATTACCCTTTATGGGAACACAAGCCATGACCAGCCTGTGTAAAGTGAAGGTCCTTCTCCCATGATGTTGAGGGCCACCCATATTGGTTGACCTCAGGTGGTCAGACTGGGCAAAAATGGCCATTTCCCCTTCTCTTCAAACCTTTCCTCATCTAGTTCCATTTCCCTTTGTCTTGGTCCAGTTCCTGCCCTTCGGCACTAGCCTTCACCATGACCCAATGCATGAAAGCCAGGAAACAAACCAAAGAATGATGTCCTACTGCTCTCTCTCTCTCTCTCTCTCTCTCTCTCTCTCTCTCTGTTCTTCCTGGTCCTATAAAAGGGTCTACCTCCCCCTTTCCATCTCTTCCCACTCCCATAAAGGTAAAGACGCTCCTGTTAGTTAAACTAGAACATGTGTAAGCCCTCGTAAGGTCAACATTTGAGGCAACATCTGGGACCCTTTTTTGCAGCCCTCTGGTTCCTTTTGGTCCCTCTGCCCTTAAAGGTGGGTGCAATTTATAGAGGTTGGAGGGTGGCAGAAAATGCTGAAGGCTTGGACAATGTCTAGCTTTGAGCAGGGCAGGGGACACTGCTTCAGACTTTTAAAAGACGAGAGGCTGAAATGGAGAGTTATTACCCCCCTAGAGACTTCTGGGGATGCATCCATTTTAGACTCTCTGTTTTCTAAGTGTGTTTGTGTGTAGGGGGGATATGCAATGGGCCCCATATGGCCTGTGACTGCAGGCGATCTTATTCCTGGCCTAAGGACTGAGATAAACAAAGGACCTCGTTGGGAAGATTCTTCTGTAGCAAACCCTCCGCCCACCCACCCCTGCCTCTGTGCAACAGGTCATTCCTCCCTCATGATCACCTGTCTTGAGCAGGAGCCTCCTTTTTGAGTCACCATAAACACACAAGAGTGCAACTTTGTGGTGAAAAGGAGATGGAAGGTTTTGTTATGGTAGGTCTCTGCAAGCCAAATGCTGGAGCAGTTGCCATAAAGAGTGTTAATTTGCTTCAATCCTTAAAAGCTGCTTTCACATTAGTGAACTCTTAGGCTGGTGAAGCACCACCACTCTGCAAATATCCATAAGTGGAATTAAAAGAGGGACTTAATTTAATTCTATTTTAATAGTAATGATGACTGTCTGTATGGCTGTCTTCCTTCTATATTTAACCAGAATTAAGTGACATTCAAGGAACATTTCCATTACTATTAACTAGATGCTTCCTTTTCATAGCTTCTGCCTCTAACGGACTGCTGTTCAGGACAGTCCGGGAATTAACAATGCAATTTTCATTTCCTGGATTGTGGTGGGCAATTATTGATTTCTTTAGCTCACTGTCCTTCCCCTGCTCCTTTTCTTTATAGCGAACGAGTGCTATCTGACAATAAAAGGGCAAAATGATGTAGAAATGATTGCAGAATGTGTGAAAAGCAAAGATTAAGCACAGCTCCCGCTTGAACTGAAAACCGAGAGCCACTTGCAGGGCTGAACAGAGAGCAATCATGGGGCAGAAGCCACAAACAGGAACCATTTCATTAAAACAAAACTCTTCTCTCCATGAATAAGGTCTGAAAAAAAGAAAGAAAGGTGTGGGGGGGAAGGCAGGAAAAGTTGGCTAGATTCTCTTCAAAATGGACATGTGAGATTAAACAGCAAGTGTGGGAACAGCCGAGAACTTCCCTCTTCAGGACCATGGACAGCAGCCTGTCAACCTTAAGGCCTTGCAAAGATTTCTCCCATCCTTGCCATTTATATCCCAGGACGACGACCAATAAGGGCATTATGTGTTGCCTTGAGGCCATCAAGGTTAAAATGTCTGACACGGTTCTTCTGCCTCTTTTCTTTGAGCGGATCTAGTTATACACTGTTCTAGCCCTTTGATACCACTTTAACTGTAGTGGCTCCGTCCCATGGAATTCTGGGAATTGTAGTTTGGAGAGTTCGTGAGAATTCTCTGCTAGAGACCTCTGCTGCCCATTGACAGAACTACAGCCGGGACTTATAAGCTGCTCCCTGAACTATAAAATCCAGGATAGTTAACGTGGTATTGAATGGGCATAAGGTTTTTCTCAGAGTTTTCTGTGAGTCTGAAATGTTGGCTTTGGTCGCATAGCCTGCCCGGTTTGTTCAGGTCCCCTCAGTCGTCTTTTTCTCTTTCCAGCCCCCAGCAGGTGCCGATGGCGGAATACTTTGTCCCTCCTGCTCCTCCTCCTCCTCCACCCCTGGTCATACCCTCGGCTCAGACTGCCTTCGACAGCCCCATCTCGGCTTCTCCTGCCGCGGCGCAACACGCAGCGGTCTCCGTGGTTCATTCTTCCTATGCCCCCTCCCCACCGCCAGCTCCCCCTTGTCCCTACTCCGCTTCTCCCCCTCAGGCTGGTCCCATGGGGCCTCCTGTTGCACCGCCACCCCCTCCCCCTGGCCCCACGACGGTCTCTGCCTCGCCGGCTCACTCAGCCTCCCCCCCGGCTGTGACTGTCGAGCCACGGAAGGCCCAGATGCCCCTCATCCCGATGAGCGATGCCCGGAGTGATCTGCTGGCCGCTATTCGCAGGGGTAAGTGCCACGTCCTCGCTAGACGCGACAGAGCTTGGAATGTACTTTTTCAAAAAGACGTTGGTTCTTATCCTTTGCTTCAAGACAAGGCACGTTGACCTGAGTGTCATCGTTGCTCTGTCTATCAAAGGAATACGTTGTCTTGTGCCTTATTAATGTGTTCCAAGGTTGTTACCTGCTGGCTGGGAGAAAAAAAGAGAAAAAACACTAGGGAAATGCTCTCTGCTACTCCCTAGTGACCAGTTCTGATACTGCACCTAGAAAACTCTTAAAAATGCAAAACACTAAGCAAAGAAAGGCACTCAGTTCTAATCACAGATGGCTGGATAGCTCTGTGGTTTAAGTTTCTGAAAGAAAGGCACTCAGTTCTAATCACAGATGATTGAATAGCTCTGTGGTTTAAGTTTCTGGCCCTGGAGCCAGAGGTTGGGAGTTCAATTCCCCACTGGGCCTTCTGCGGAAAGAGACAGCAAACCAATCCTGAATACCCTAGAGGACTCTGGAAAGAGTCTTCATAACTCGGAATTGACTTGACAATATTGTTGTTATTATTATTAAACAAAACTATGCATCGTTGGAAGTTGGGATTGATAAGAGAATGGCATACAGTTTGAAAGCTCTTTCCAAAGTGCTTCTAAAAATGTCATACAGAATCACTTCTCAAAACAATTGGAAAACATCATTTTCCCACACTAAAAAGTCACACTCTTTACATTGCTTGCGAAAGCTGACTTTGCTTAATTCCACCGACGGGCAACCGAGGCTGATGTGCAGAGACTGGTAAGGTGTTTCAACTTTTTCCCCTCCCAAATGCAGGAATCCAGCTCCGCAAGGTTCAAGAGCAGTGGGAACAGGAAGCCAAGAAAGAGCCCGTGGGCAATGACGTGGCCACGATCCTGTCTCGCCGGATCGCGGTCGAGTACAGCGAATCTGACGACGACTCGGAACTGGACGAGAATGAGTGGTCCGACTGAGAGTGATTCGGATGCCCTGCCTTGGGATGGGGAGGGAGAGGGTTCTCCCTCCTGGGCTGGTCCTCCTGCCACCTTTCTGCAGCCAGGTGTGTCCGCGTGACTGGCCATCCCGGCAGGTACATTCCAGCTGTTGCCCAGCTGCTCGTGTTCAGGAGTTTCGCTTTCGTGCCATGTTGCGTTGTTGAAAAATTATTTTGAGGTGGCCTCTTTATGGGCGAGTGTGCATTCGTGACTCTTGTCTGTGGAAAGCCTTGACGGCTGGGGAATCATTTCCCACTGGGGTTTTGTTGGCTCCTTCCTTCCTTTCTCTCTTTCTCTCTCTCTCTCTCTCTCTCTCTCTCTGGGTGTGAAAAAATGTCTTTTGAAACTTTGGACAAGTTGGAAAAGCCCAACCCAACCTTGTAACAACACCCCTTTCTTGGTTTGTCATTATCAAAGTTGACCAGAGCTTTATATAGTCTCGGAGGTTACAGCTTTAGGATGCAATCGGATGACGTTTGCAACAAGATGGAGATTTTAAGCAGATGCACTTTCGGTACTTAAATGTTCCAGATAAACAGGTAGGTAGGTAGGTAGGTAGCTGGTCGGCTGGAGCATTTTTCTTCTATGTGGAATATCCCAAGGGTTTAATGGCTTAGAAGACTACATAACACTGGCTTGTAAGCTTTCTCGAATGCTTACAAGAGTCTTCCTTCCCAAAACTGATAACTTCCAGATGGACTGCAGGTCCCATTAATCCCAGAGGGCCATTCCTATTGGGGAGGTTGGGAGGTGTAGTCCAGCCTCAACCAGAAAGGTCTGGTGCAGGGAAGGTGCAATTAATATTTTAGAGCAGTGATGGGCACAGTGCTATGCCACTCACATCAGTATGTGTGTGTGTGCTGGTTCATTTGGGGAGGGGAGGCAGCTTGCCTCTAGCAAAGGAAGGGTCGTAGAGTATATTGGGGGGGGGCAGGGAGAGAGAAAGCCAAATAAAGCAGAATTAGCCAAGGTCAAGACTGTGTCCTTCCGTCTCTGTGGACCTCTGCCCACAAACAAGGTGTGGGTAGGATGGCCGAGGCGATCAAGGGCTAGCCAAGGCGTCCGAGGGCTAGCAGAGTTGCACACAAGGTCAGCCATGCTGTGCTGGATCCAGACCACGCCCAGCATCCACATGTTGGAAATGACTTAGCCACGACCCTGGCTCAGCTTCACGCTGGCATCAGGACCGTGTCCCTGGGCTACAGGCTGCTTGAAGCGGGCTAGTACAAGCCAGCGCATCTCCTGACCCAGGCTCTCTTCTGCACCCTTTTTGATTCTTTCCCCAGCGGATCAGTCCTCTGGCAGATCACTCCGGAGGCAGCTCTCTGAGGCCCTGCGATGGGTTCTCGGTTAGGGTAAGAGAGATCTGCCTGATCCCTGATCCCTTGCTGGCGCCTTTGAGTTAGTTGCGTGACAATGTGCATTGCGGTTCATGGGTGCTTACGCCAACAACACCTACATTAAATTCTTGATAGGTCCATCCCGTAATGTGGGATGGGGTGATTTATTTATTTGATTCTGTATTCCCGTATGTTGCAGTTGGGGGGGGGAAAATGTTTTTAAGTAATTTCAAAGGTGGTGGTTGTGGGTTTTTCAGGCTCTTTGGCCATGTTCTGAAGGTTGTTCTTCCTAACGTTTCACCAGTCTCTGTGGCCATGGGCCTCTTCAGAGGACTGGAGTCAGAGCACAGATTGCAGTCCTCTGAAGAGGCCGGCCACAGAGACTGGCGAAACGTCAGGAAGAACAACCTTCAGAAGAAGAGCCCAAAAAACCCACAACAACCATCAGATCCTGGCCGTGAAAGCCTTCACGCATTCAATTTCAAAGGTGGCTAGCCCTACTGTTGGGTAGAGGGGAGATTTCTCCTTAAATAACAGATGGCAGATGACATAGAAGAGGCAGAAGTAACAATACCCTAACTCTATACCTGCTGTTGAAAAAAAAAAGATGTGCTCTAAGCAGCCTATCCTGCCCTCTTCCATCCTTAAGCTCACCTACTGCCCTCAGGTATGGTCACCAGAAATGGGACGGATCCATCTCTAATTCAGAGTTTCTGTTGAGTTGCTCAATTTCCCGATCACACATTGATTCATCCTGAACTCTCAGATTTTTTTAAAAGTTTGCATGAAAATTCATTCACGTTTTTCTGGGCCTTCCGCCCAGTATGTGGATCTTCATATGCAGTTTTTCCTACAGTACAGCTTTCGGCAGTATTCAGTGTTCTTAGGAAAAGAGCCAGAATAAGTGCATTCAATGCTGTAGCGTCCATTTCAGTGGCAAATTACTGCCAAGAAAGGAGTCTATGCTGGCATTCTTTGTCATGTGCCAGCTCCATGACTTGACACACTGCAGGGAGTATAATCAGCAACTCCTTAATTAGCAGGAAATCGGCTATAATTTACACCATTGCACCTACACAGCTGTATATAAAAAATTCTGACCAATGTGGTTTTATATTTTTTTTAACATTTCCCTAAGAGGCACATTGGTGCGTTCTTTTTTCCCCATGTACGCCCAACCCACCTCAGAGAACGCTATGGTAAAACTGGAGAAATCAGTTTCAAAACAGAACTGAGTTTTGGTTTGAATATAGCTTCAAAATTACAACATCAGATAAATGGGCATTGAAGCGTGGACTGGACATTTTTTTTCCCCCAGGGAGGCCGGCACGTTTTGGGCTCAAAGTCCCGAGTTCACGGCATTGAAGCGTGGACTGGACATTTTTTTCCCCAGAGAGGCTGGCAAGTTTTGGGGTCAAAGTCCTGAGTTCAAGTTTGAGTCTTTGGTATCAAGCCCCAAGTCGGAGTCCCTATTAAAAACAAGCTTGTGGGCCTCTCCCCGGAGAAAAAAAGGAGAGGGTCGTGGGTTCTGAGTCGAGAGTCGGAATCAAAAATCTGAGTTGAGTCGCCGGTGTGGCTTACGTCCCACTTGACAGTGATTCCTGTGATCTGAGTCGGCACGCCTGATCCCCCCCCCCCACTATTGCGAGCAAAGCAAAGCAAAAGTCAGGTTAGTGGAAGCACCGCAGAGCTAAGCCAGGCTAGCAGTTGGTACCTCGCCTCCCACCCTAAAGGTCACGTCGGTTTCTGTGCCTCATCTCACTGCCTGCCTTCACCAGATGGGTCTTCCGTACAGATCCCAGGTGACCTTCCAGGAATAGACATTGTGGGATGACTCCGATACAAGGCAGCTTTGATGCAGTGAGGGGGAGGGGACTACGGGGTTAAACTGGACCAGTTAGGACCTGCCATGGTTGGGATAGGCATCTGGCTAATAATGACATATGTGCATAGGTTTCCATATATGCATGCAGGATGGGATGAGTTTTATTGAACTGGATGGGTCATCAGGACCGCAGCACCGTACCTGAAGAATATGTAAACGGAACCTCTGGAGAACTCACTGGTATCGATCTCTGGCTGCAGAGCCAGAGGTTGGGAGTTCGATCCCCCCACTGGGTCTGTCTCTAGCCTCAGTGATCCACAGGGTCCCTTCCAGCTCTGCCATTCCAAGATGATTATTAAGATGATTATTAATAGAAGTGATGTGTGCAGGGAATGGACTCTGCATTTAAAATGCAAATGACTACAAAATAGGCACAAACTGGCTTTTGGACGATGAGGAAAATGTGTGGATGAAGGAACAACGCGTAAATAAATGTGTAGTTTAGGAGGAATGATAAACAAGGTATAAGAATTTCAATGCAGTTAAAGAAAAGAAAAAAACCCAGCAGAAGGACAGGCAGCTGAGAATGCAGTTGGAGTTTGCAGAAACCCAGCAAAATTAAGACAGAGAGAGATTCCCACATCCTATGATGCTCTGGCAAAAGTTAAGCCAGGCTGTCTTACACAACCTTGAGGAGCAAACACCCCAGTCGATAATGATTTTAGGAATCATTATCATAAAATATGGAAATGCCTCTTTCCTGTGGTGGTCATTAAACGTCAAAGTCGGCTGCGAAGGATTAAAACTTACCCTTCTCCCTTAAGGCACCTCTTCAGCTTGGCGGAGTGACACCCACGACCCTCGGGATAAGCTTCTGCTGCCTCATGTTAACTCCCCCCCGACCCGATCATGTGAATTGAGCCCCTGGAGGGCCAGAGCACGGCTGCTCGGTCCTTTGGAGGGACTTGGCAGCTCAAAGCAAATAAAAAAAAATAACAAATCACAGAACCTGCACTGCACTTTAGAAGATGACATTCTCTGCCGTACACGTTGTTCACTTTCACCTCCATCCCATCGTCCCCACTGGGCCATTCTGTACTTACCCACCTCCTCCGAAGGGCGAGACTGTAGATCTGGACATCAGAAGCGGCGAGCGAGCCACGAGGCGAAGGATGATGCATCTGGGTTGATGGGGTAGACGTGCCTGGCTTAGATTCTCCTTTACAAGGTACAGTGGCGTGGTTGCGAATGACCCCGGCCACGCACGGGGACTGAAATAGTTCACCATTTTAAAATAGCCATTAAAGAAAGAGAAAGCTACCTTGAAGATCGTCTGGGTGGCCCGACTGGCCTTGGGTCCCAGAAAGTAGCCACCTGCCTAGGAAGGTGTTCTCCAGCTGCAAGGGCTCCCTGGAAGAATTTATTATAATATCTTGTGAATGCTGAATTTCAGGATAGCTCAGTGGCTGAGTGTCACCTTCATTCTTCTATGATTGTATGATAGATGGTTGTCCAATTCTCTCTTGAAGGCCTTCAGCGTTGGAGCATTCACCACTTCCGCAGAAAGTAGCCACCTGCCTAGGAAGGTGTTCTCCAGCTGCAAGGGCTCCCTGGAAGAATTTATTATAATATCTTGTGAATGCTGAATTTCAGGATAGCTCAGTGGCTGAGTGTCACCTTCATTCTTCTATGATTGTATGATAGATGGTTGTCCAATTCTCTCTTGAAGGCCTTCAGCGTTGGAGCATTCACCACTTCCGGAGGTCGGTGAAGGCCTCCAGCGTTGGAGCGTTCACCACTTCCTGAGGTCGGTGGCTCCGTTGTCATACTGCTTTAACAGTTAGGAAGTTTTTCCTGATATTCAGCCTAAATCTGGCTTCCTGTCGCTTGGGTCCATTCCTGATATTCAGCCTAAATCTGGCTTACTGTTGCTTGGGTCCATTCTTGCATGTCTTGCACTCGGGAATGATCGCGAACAGATCCTGCCCCTCCTTTGGAGGACTACCTTTCCAATATTTGCAGAGCGCCCTCCTATCTCCCCCCCCCCACCAGGTTTTCTTTTCTCAAGGCTAAACATGCCCAGTTCTTTCCATCTTTCTTCGAAGGACTTGGTTTCTAGTCCCCTGACGATCCTTGTTGCCCTCCTCGGAACTTGCTCCCAACTGCTAAATATTATTTTTGTGTGTGTGTGTAGGCTTTCTGTTCTCATGGGAAGCCTTTTAAAATACCCTGTTCTGTCCGTGGGCCAGAAGTTGGATAAGTTACTTTTTTGGACCACAATTCCAACCATATCAACCCAAAGCCTTAACTTTAACAATCCCTGTAGTGGAAGAAGGAGGTGCAATCCAGAAATGAGGAGGAGCGAAAGTGCTTGGAGGAGGTCTGGAGGTAGGCTGATCAAAGTGTTCACATCCAACATCGGCTCGGCTCAGCTGGTGGTGGTCTTTTCCAGGGGTGATGAGAAAAGGGATCACGGTTTATGGGTAGGTTGCAGGATGATTTGAGGGAAAGTTGCAAGCGTCCTGAAGAACTCCCAGCTGTCTCAGCATGGCAAGAAATAACGTAAAGTTACCCTCCATCTTCCTCGAATTAGGCTGCTCTGAATGGATGCTAAGGGAGCAGAGAATTCGATGGCTGCAGGATACACCTCATGGGCTTGATTCCAGTTGCAATCACAAATTCACAAGCTGGAGTGGAGAAGGAAGGGGTCATGCAACCCATGCATGCCCTCCACTAAGGGTGCCCTCTCGGGAATTATTATTTTTTAAAAAGGTACTTAAAAAAATCCTCTTTGCCTACCATGGGGAAGGGGGTCAATTTGTTGGGTTTTAAATGCCACTAGAGGAAGCAATGGGTCCT